CACAGACTACTTCTTCTTCTCAGGCTGTTAGTCAACCTGAGCTACAGTCAAAATCAGTACATAAACAGCCTACCTCAGCCAGTTCATCAAAACCAAAAAGGAAAAATTAAACAGAAAAGAGACACCTTCTGTCCCTTTACCTTCAGAGCTCCTCTGGAGAACCCTTTGGACCTCTCGACATGGAGGTCAAACTCTCATCTCAGGATAAGCCTAACTCACTCACTCACTCACTCACAGGACAAGCGTAGGAATAGCTCCTCCTCCCATTCACGAGTGAGATCTCCAATTGAGCCACCATCGTGAGTCAATTGTCCCATATAATTCAGTGGAATTGCAGATAGATAGAAGAATAACTTCAATGAAATACAATTACTCATTCAAGATATTCAACCGTCAGCGTTATGTCTTCAAGAAACATACCTTAAAAATACTGATACCTTTAACTTAAGACGGTTTAGTGATTATCATTCCTTCTCTCCCTTCCAGGCGATAAAGCTACTGGAGGCGCCTCTATTTTGGTACACCAGAGTGTCACTCACAGCCCTGTCACTTTAAATACGGATCTTCAAACTGTTGCTGTTCGTCTGATTCAGCACATTGCTCTGACATTGTGCAGCTTGTATATACCTCCCTCATCAAATATTCAACAATCAGATCTTCAAAATCTGTATGATCAACTTCCGAAGCCATGTCTCATTATCGGCGATTTTCACGGACACAACCCGCTTTGGGGAAGTGTCCATACTAATAACAAAGGTAAAATCCTTGAAGAATTCATTTCTGATAATAATTTATGTATTTTAAATGACGATTCAGCCACTTATTCTACATCCAGCTACGGGAACATATTCTTCCCTGGATCTGTCACTTGCCGATTCCATCTTATATAATGAATTCGAATGGATGGTTCATGATGACCTATGTGGTAGTGATCACTTCCCAACCATTCTCAAAACAATTAACCCTGGTGATGATCCTCCTTCATCAAGAAGGAACATCGCCAGGGCCGATTGGTCATTATATGAAGCTTTGTGTGTCGACCACTTAAAACATGAAGTATTTGCGAACAGCGAAGACCCTATACAATTGTTTTCTGATATCCTCAATGACATTGTTGATCAAACTATACCCAAGTCCTCTGCAATTCCACATATTCGTAAACTATGGTTTACGTATGACTGTAAACAGGCCAGAAAGAATAGGAAGAAAGCTGAAAAGTATTTTCGGCGACATCCTGCAGTTCATAATTTAGATAAAGTGAAAATTTTAAATGCTAAGGCTCGACGCACTTTTAAACAGTGTAAGCGCCAGTCTTGGAGGAACTATGTTTCCAAAATTAATTCCCGTACACCTATTTCAAAGGTGTGGAATATGACACAAAGAATTTAGGGCAAAGGTTCCAAATCTACTGTTTACCATCTGAAGGATGGTGATAATTTATTAACTGATAAGTCTGATATTGCCAGCAAGATTGGTGAAACTCTCGCCAAACATTCTTCTTCGTCAAATTACGTTCCGGAATTTCAACAATACCAGAAACAACAGGAGAAGAAGAAGAGAATACTTTTAACTCCGACAATGGCGAAGACTATAATGAATTATTTTCATTACATGAGTTACACACTGCCCTTGAGCAAGCTCATGATACAGCAACAGGAGCTGATAACATACACTATCAGCTCTTGAATGCATTTACCGGAATCTTGTTCGGAAACTTGTAAATATTTTTGATGGATTTCAGGGAATTTCCCAACGTCGTGGCGTAATGCCATTGTAGTCCCTATTCCAAAGCCTGGCCGGGATCATACTGATCCGTCTAATTACAGACCAGTCTCTTTAACGAGTTGTGTCTGTAAAACCATGGAACGAATGGTAAACAATAGATAAACATGGTATCTTGAAACCAATAACCTTATTACAAATATTCAATGTGGTTTCAGGAAAAATCGTAGTACCATTGATCATTTGGTACGTTTAGAATCCTTTGTTAAAAATGCTATAGTAAATAAACAACATGCTGTATCGATATTCTTTGATCTCGAGAAAGCATACGATACCACCTGGAAGCATGGCATTTTAAAGGATGTACATGATTTTGGTTTAAGGGGTCGTTTACCTCTTTTTATATCACAGTTTTTATCAGGCAGGCAATTTCAAGTCCGAGTGGGTTCAACCCTGTCTGACCATTACAATCAGGATCAGGGTGTCCCACAAGGAAGTATTTTGTCTGTCACTTTATTTAGCGTAAAGATCAACAGTTTATCCAAGGTTTTAAACGATTCAATAGATGGATCACTTTTTGTGGATGATTTTAATATTTCTTGTCGCGGTAAAAATATGCATACTATTGAACGGCAACTACAGTTGTGTTTAAACAAGATAAATAAATTGTGTCTTGAAAACGGCTTTAAATTTTCTAAATCCAAAACTAATTGTATACATTTCTGCCGTAAATACAAACCGCATAAAGACCCTGAACTCTCTCCAAATGACACACCCATCAAAGTTGTGAAGGAGGCCAAGTTCTTGGGTATTTTGTTTTACTCGCACTTAACGTTTCTACCACATATTAAATCCCTTAAAACTAAATGCCCGAAAGCACTTGACTTGTTGAAAGTCGTTTCCAATTCTTAGTGGGGAGGGGATCAAGCTACCCTCCTACATCTATATCGATCACTGGTACGTTCCAAACCTGATTATGGTTCCTTCGTTTATGGTGGAGCCTGCAAAAGCAACCTAAAACTATTAGATGTTGTCCACCACCAAGGTCTAAGACTTTGTCTTGGGTCCTTTAGAACCTTTCCTATTGATAGTCTCTATGCTGAGGCTGATGAGCCATCTCTTACACAACGCCGTGTAAAACTATCTTTACAATATATTACAAACCATATTCCACCCAGTCTAACCCTGCATATAACTGTATCTTCAATCCCCTCTATGAGGATTTATACAACAAAAAGTCTTCTCTTGTTCCGCCTCTTGGGCTAAGAATTAAACCATTCATTTCTGCTGCCGGCATTGAGCTGGGAAATATATCTCCTTCCCGTCTACTTTCTTCTCATCCTTGGCAACTGGTGAGGCCTGAAGTTGACCTAACTCTGATAAAGTTTAAGAAATCTATAACTAATGAATTACAATATAACCAAGAATATAATCAATTAAAAAATAAATATAATACATACAAATCCTTATTTACAGATGGGTCCAAGGATGGTGGCGCGGTGGCATGTGCCACTGTCATTTGATCCCGATCCCGATCCCGAACATCCCGATCTCGACTACCAAATAACAGCTCTATTTTCACAGCAGAAGCTAACGCCATATTGACAGCTCTTAAATATATTCATAAACACCGTAAATATAAACAATACATAATATTTTCCGATTCTCTTTTCTTGTGTTCAGGCTATTAAAAATCTTTCTAGTAAACATCCACTTTTATTAGAAAATTATTGAATTGTATAATGAGCTTGCTAATGGCCAATGCGACATCGTCTTTTGTTGGTTACCCAGCCACGTTGGCATTTTTGGGAACACAATGGCCGATCTTGCTGCTAAGGCAGCACTCAACAAATCTGTGACACCACTTATGATCTGATTACAAAGCTGCTATCAGATCTTATATCCGTGATCTGATGCAAAAGAAGTGGGACACCCAAGTAAGTATCAATAAATTACATGCACTAAAACCATCTATCGGTTACACCTACTTGGGTTGTCAGTCCAGATTTGAAGAGGTCATCATACGACGATGTCGTATTGGCCACACAAGATATACTCATGAGTACCTATTAACAGGTGAGGATCCTCCGTTTTGTATCCCTTGTGATGAAAGAATCACGGTCAAGCATGTCCTGCTTGACTGTGTTGAATATTCCATCACAAGGGATATCTATTTCAAATCACAAACTATGAAGGATCTTTTTAGTAATATAAGTTCTCATTTAATTATTGCCTTTTTAAAAAAAAATAGACTTGTTAAATGATTAATTTGTAAATAGATACATATTTTATTATTGGTAGTTTAGATTAGTAACTGAGATTGTCAGTGGCTGTACCCTGAAAGGGGTTGAAGTAGCGTAAAATTATTGTCCTCCTGAGAGGGTATGTAAGTCCCAAAACTTTCAAAGTAAAATTTTCACATACCAAGTTTTTAAACGTAGTATTTTTGTTCTTTTAAATTTCGGCTTAATTATCCTACAATCGCCAGCGGCTGAAGGGATGGTGTAAATCCAGATAGGGCCCATGCAGGTAGCAAAAGTAATATAAGTCCCCATGGTTCCCAGTATGGTGATCTACCTTCAGTTGTTGGCGATCTATAGCCCGTGTTTTTTATTGTATTGTCTTCTTTAATTGGAATGTTTTAGCTTTGTTCGCTAGTTTTATATTATACCTGTGATTATATAGTATTTTTACTGTCCATCGTCGACAGGTTTTAATCTTCATAATATTTTCACTTTTTATTGTATAAATTGTTTTCGTCACGATAAGGCTGAGATATTGCCGATGTGACGTTAAATATTAACTCAGTCACTCACTCACTCATGGGAGAGAAATGGAAGCGATTTTACTACTCAGGGGAGATAATCAATCAAGAATCGTGAACACAACAGCGTTGACACCCAACAGTGTATTACACCACTGCACCCTACCACATTTAGCCACAGACAGGGCTGTGAAATGGCTAAATGACTATAACATGTTCATCATAGTTCTTATGATTTTGTGTCAGGTTCAAAGCCAGATGATGGTAATGTGCGCGGTCATGAGCACAGATTAGAGTGTGTGGTGGGAATGTGGTGTGTGGGTACAGGACAGTACATTGTACGGTAAATTGCAAACATACGAACTACTCAAATGGAACAACCTAAACGAACTAACTTCAATAAGTTTTACTAAATCATTAAAGCTGTCAAACAAAGTGTCCATATAATTGGACATAGTTGTTGTTCAACAGGTTGTCTGTACAATAACCTGAAAATACAACAATCGCATGACACTAATTGATAAAATTTATTTAATAATTTCACATTTGAGACATTGCTCATAATCAGGATAATGATTAGGAATCCAAATCAGATTGGACAAGCTTGCCTGTGACAAGAGCAACTGAAGAAACATATCCTGTAGTCATGCTGCTTGAGAAGTGAACCTGTACCTGGTTAGCCCCTGTGACAAACAATGAGGTAGGGACTACAAACTCCCAAACCTCCCAACTGGTGGTGCTGTTAAACTTGTCAGAATCATACAGTTTGTAAAACGTGTCAAGACGGTGGTGGTTAAAGGTAAGATACGATACGCTGTTCGTAACATTGATCGGCCAACTGGTTGAAACTCTCATTCTTGCACTGTAATACTGGCCTTTTGGTAGATTTATTTCGGTCCAAACCACGTTGTCCTTTACTGGTATAAGTGTATCGGCTCCGTAGAATGTGGTTTCGTTGAATATGACTCTAGGTAGCTGGTTTGAGGTGATCTTGAACGTAAAGTGACATGTTGCCTCGGGAGGAAGTTCAATCATTCCCCGTGTCTTCTGGATGTCAAAGGGTGTATTGAAGGTCATGATTGGATACCAGTTGTCTTTGATGGTGATACAAGTAGCTTGTCCCTTAGTAGGTTTGATCCAGTCGTCTTGAAATACTAACTTGACATTTTGTGTTTTCTGAGAATAGCTATGCAAGAGAACGACAGTTTCGTTATGCAGGGAACTGGACATTACTAATGGTGACACTGTTCGTTCTGTTCCGTCATATTGGCTGGTAGTTCTGATAAAGGAGTAGTCTGTAGTGAATTTGTACCAAAACTTGTAGACGTCAGCAATACGTGTAGTGTTTCCTTGGAGAGTGAAAAGTGACCAGTTGAGACTACCATGTCCTGAATGTTGTTCATTGGCTAAAAGAAACACCACTGTTCTGTCAATGTATTCCCTGAGACTTAGTTGGGTAAATCTGTGGGCATTGCAGTGGTATATTGTTGAAAAGTCGACTATACCAGATGGGGCAAATTTGTCAATTCCCATCACAATATCGCGGCCATACTCACTGATAACAAGGGGTACTTGCTTCCCTGTCTTTAGAGAGGCATAACTTTCCACAAGGTCGACAAATGCTACCAGACGTGCTTCATTCATTCCAGTAAGATTGTGAGATTTCCCTGAAACAATGAGTGAGTTGTACGAATGGAAGGAAAATTCATCTAGATAGCCTTGTGTGAGGTCCATGAAATAGGCCACCTTTTTCCAATACGAAAAGTCGTTTCTATCTGCCAACCCAGTTTCTCCGTCAAGTGTAGGACCATTTACCTTGATGTTAAATCGAGCATGGAATTTCTCAGCAACTAATTTGTGGAAGATAGCAATAGTAGTAAAATTCCAGATGTCAGGTTCAGCGTCTGGTTCATTAATTGGCTCGAAGTATGGTGGGATCTCTCCATTGGTGTAGTCATATACTCCTTGCACCATCAACATTATGAACTCTGCAGCAGCATCAATGTTGTTAGGGAACTGACCTTCATGTTCTGACTGATTTATCCAACTTGGCCAGTACTCAGCTGAAATCAACGGAATGTGAACCTAACATAGTTATAGCATTATAACATATTTGGTATTTTAATAACAATCTACACATTCTTGGTTGATTTCCTCTTTAGAAACCTATTAGTCTATATTCCCAAGGTGTGTGCGTTGTTGCAGTGCCGCATTGAGTCAGTGAGTTGGGTCTAACAACGCTTTGGACAGTATTTCTGTTTTTCATGGCGTGTCAGCTTAATGTGAAAGAGGATTCTGAAGTAATGTAGCAGGTTGGTCAAATACGAATATGCAACTGATGGACAAAAATTGTTCTACGATTCGGACCAAAAATCATAGTTTTCTAACATTGACGTACATTGTAACTGCACAGCATCCTTTGACGACTTGGCCATCCACGCCCCCCTTTGTTCTGGAGACTCATCAATCTGATTAGTTGAGGTAGATAATAAACTGAATTGCTTTTAAACTTTTGCCTCCAAGCTTTTGCTAAGGATATCCTTTTCATCTTATTAGGACACATAAAATGGATTCACATCATTTGTCAAAAGTATTTATAAATACATTGACTTGTATTATTTTCCCTGTGAAAAGTTGAATAACATATATCCTAAATATTTCCAAACATCTGCATTCAGTATTTGACAGCCATTTGTGCTTACTTGACATTACATACTCGATGTATCATTCGGTCGAACACACGCCCCTGCCTATTCAATGCCTGGCCTCAATCCTTCACTGTGTCAGGATTGTATGTTCTCGTTAGAACTGTTACTGTGTTATCGCATATGAGACAGATACGATATGAACACAGGTCTTTTGTGTTAATTATATTCGTTCAGTTATTAAATGACGAGTTTTCTATGAGAGAATTCTCACCTTTCGCCTCCATGACCATTTCGTTCTTATAACCACTTTTAATGTTAGCAAGATAGGTGGAGAACAGTTCCTGCTGTTTGGTGGCATTCTTCAAGTAGTTAGGGTCCGGGTAGCCGCTACGGTTTGGGTCTTCTGGCCACTGTACGAATTGTAAATTAAGGTAACTGTATATCATGACCATTAAGAAGTCAATCGGAAAACCGTTGTTGTTGTTTGTTTGTGACAATGCTTTATGGCTTCTTCTGTGAAGACGTGTGGATAACAACTTCTGTCATTCAATTCTCTAAACGAGAATGTTTTTAGCAATATTCAAACATATTCAAATTTCTGGAACACCAGAAATGGGCTTCACACATTTTGCCCATTTGGGGAATCGAACCCGGGTCTTCAGAGTGACGAGTGAACGCCTTAACCACTAGACTACCCCATATCCTCTTTCTTTTCCTGAATATCATAGTTATATTCAGGACTCAAATGATAAGTCATCAGCTGCTTTTGACCCTTCAACTGTTTATATATGCATGTTAGTTTGTGTGCATGTGTATATGTGTGTGTGTGTGTGTGTGTGTGTGTGTGTGTGTGTGAGTGTGTGTGCGCGCGCGCGCACACACATTGCTTGCTACACATGTATCAGGTATTTTGTTGCGAAAACCTTATGCTGCCACTTTGGTATTTTAATATATTCCTCGTTACTTCAATTTTACCTCGTTATTTCATTTATTTTCTGAAAAATTCGAATATTTCCTGTTTACATGGGTCCCTAGTTTGGTGATCTACCTTCAGTTGTTGGCGATCTATAGCCAGTGTTTATAGTGTATTGTCCAAATAGTGCTATTAGTTTTAATTTTCCACACTAGTTTTAGTTGTAATTGTGGTATTCTAGTTGTTTTACTGTCCTTCGTCGACAGGTTTTTATAATGTACATATGTTCCATTTCAATGTCACATATGTTCTCGTCACGATATGGCTGACATATTGCCGATGTGACGTTAAATAATAACTCACTCACTCCTGTTTACATGGATAAATCTCTCCTTCATGTTTAATTTTCCAGTATTTTCTGGTCAATTCAATCATTTCCTCGTTCCTTTATGTCAATGTTGTATAAAAAACGCGAAACCTGAAATCTGGGAAACAGAGTTAAAGTAATAACAAAATTATTGAAATAACGAGAAAATATTTGAAGCAGCAATAAAATAGCTGAATTATTTGCAGCTCGAAATTTCATGTTCTCGAAAGAAATTTGAAGTAATGAGTAAATAATCATGTTTCACCACCTATCATAATGTGTTTCCAATTCATTCATTATTTTAGTAAAGATATTGTTAAATCTTGGAAATTATAAATCTACCTCTTCTTTTTGTTAACTGAGATTATACACGAGGGCTTCTTCTTTCACATTCATCAGTAGCTGCTGAAGCCATGAAAAACGTGAAGACATGAAACCGTCTGACTAACAACTTCTGTGTTTAAATTCTCCAAACCAGAAAGAACTAATTATCGATAGTTCCAATTATTTTCTGGAGTATTTTCTCGTTTCTTCGATAACTTTCCCGTTCATTCTTCATTTCCTCGTGTTAGATATGTCAACTTTCTTTCAAAAAAAAAAAATGTGAAAAAAAAATCAAAGAGTTCAAGTACCGAAAAAAATATCGAAGTAACGAGAAAATATTTGAAACAGTGATAACATAACTGAATTATTCGAAACAACAAGACCATTTCATGTTTTCGAAAGAGACTTGAAGTAGCGAGTAAATAGTCATACTTAACCATCGATCTCAATGTGTTTCCAATTCATTCATTATTTTCGTAAAGCTATTGCTAAAAGCTAATATATGTTACAATCCAGGAAATGTTAAGTCTACCACACTTCTTTTAAAAGTTTATATGAATTACAAGGACAAAACAAAGACTCAAATTGTAAAAGAAATATCTCACATCTTGGAAGAGTCGGTCATTGAGATCTCTGTTCAGCCATCGTCCACTGTCAGTCCCAATGCTCCGACAGTCAGCCATGAGGGACTCCGGTTCCAGACCATTGTGCTTGTTCCACCTGTCAGTCTCATAACGAACACTACGTCCCTGTGCCAGCCACTGAGGGTAGATCGTCACAGTTGTGTCGCTGAAGACACTGCCTATTGCCAGGAACACGACGAGGAAGACCAGTGTCAATTTCATTGATGCTGGAATGTCAAGTACCATCAAAAAAGACTTAAACTGATATATGGGGTAGTGACAGCCTATATAGTCCGTATTCACAGTAATTATCTCTAACCTTGACATTACCGTTCTATAAGTAGTACACGATAAGGAAAAACACTACTGCGTAGGATGGGTCTCACAGTGGCAAGGAGTGCAGGTCACTGTCCACCAACCAGTTGTATTCACTTCATATTTGTCATAATGAAAATCGTCACGATATGGCTGAAATATTGCCGATGTGACGATTAATATTAACTCACTCACTCATAATGCAAATTCAGCAGATTCTGAAGAAATAGCACGTCAAAAATCTACAGCACGTAATCAACAAAATAGCGCAAAAGGTTAAGGGAATAGAAAACTTTTATTTCAGAAATTTCTTTCTTTTTAGAAATATATGTTAGCCTGCTGTAAATTGTTTTGCTATTGCCTCTTCACCATATGATGAAAGTGGTCATATTCAGCAAACCACCTTTCCCGATGTTGTGCAAAAGATTTCCTTTTCAAGTTAGGTTTTGTTGAAGTATGGCTGTTCTGTGAAGGATGTTCTGTTTCCAGATATACATCTACTTTATCGTCTTTTGCCCTTGCGTCCTCCTGAGATATTGCCGATGTGACTATAAATTTTAACTCACTCACTCACTCTTTTACCCTTGCCCATCTAATTTTTGTAAATGTGAAAAGTTCTCCTATTCTACTGTCAGGTCACCTTTAATTACAGAACCCAACCCTCTCAAATAGCTAACATCTTGGTCAGAAGTTTAGGTGTAGATACTGATACCGCCATCACAGAAGTGATGTACAGAAATGATGTACAGAAATGTGAAGTAGGAAGTCATATTCAATTGGATAATTAATATCTATACAAGATGTCATCATAATGGAAATCCGCTGGCGTTCCATTTTGATTTTAAATGTCACTTTGCATGAGACATCACTTCTAAGTGTGTAAGCGACTGAGTTAAGATTATTAGCCACATTCTGAGTAATGAAAGTCGTATATAGATAAATAACCTGTCTCCTGGCATTGATAGATACAAGACGGGGCGGCTTAGTCCGGAAGAAGTCTGTACCAGCACATGCATGGACAGACAGACAGACACACACACACATTACATGCATGCATGCATGCATCCATCCACCCATCCATCCGTCCGTCCGTATGTACGTACGTACAGACGGCGCTGTGCAATGGCTAAGTTGATAATTGTTGGTCATAATACTTATGACTTTGTGACCAGATGATGCTGGTTATATGCGCGTGCATGTACACAAATTAGGGTGTACACAAATTACCACATTTAGCCACAGACAGGGCTTTGAAATGACTATAACATGTTCATCATAGTTCTTATGATTTTGTGTCAGGTACAAAACCAGATGATGGTAATGTGCGCGTGCATGGGGACAAATTCGTGTGTGTGGTGGGAATGTGGTTAGTGGGTACTGGACAGTACCTTGTACGGTAAATCACAAACAAACGCACGAACTATTCAAATGGACCAACCTAAACGAACAAATTTCAATAAGTTTTACTAATTCATTAAAACTGTCAAACAATGTGGCCAAATAATTGGACATAGCTGTTGTTCAACAGGTTGTCTGTACAATAATCTGAAATACAACAATACTCATTGATAAAATTTATTAAATAATTTCACATTTGAGACATTGTTCATCATCAGGATAACGATTAGGAATCCAAATCAGATTGGACACGCTTGGCTGTGACAAAAGCAACTGAAAAACATATCCTGTTGTCATGCTGCTTGAGAAGTGAATCTGTACCTGGTTAGCACCTGTGACAAACAGGGAGGTAGGGACTACAAACTCCCAAACCCTGCCAATAGGTGGTTTGGGCAAACTTGTCAGAATCATACAGTTTGTAAAACGAGTCAAGACGGTGGTTGTTAAAGGTAAGATACGATACGCTGTTTGTAACATTGGTTGGCCAACTGGTTGAAACTCTCATTCTTGCACTGTAATACTGGCCTTTCGGTAGTTTTATTTCTGTCAAAGCCAAGTTGCCCTTTATCGGCTCCGTAGAATGTGGTTTCGTTGAATATGACTCTAGGTAGCTGGTTTGAGGTGATCTTGAACGTAAAGTGACATGTTGCCTCAGGGGGAAGTTCGAGAATTCCCTTTGTCTTCTGGATATCGAAGGGTGTATCGAAGGTCATGATCGGATACCAGTTGTCTTTGATGGTGATACAAGTAGCTTGTCCCTTAGTAGGTTTGATCCAGTCGTCTTGAAATACTAACTTGACATTTTGTGTTTTCTGAGAATAACTATGCAAGAGAATGACAGTTTCGTTATTCAGGGAACTGGACATTACTAATGGTGACACGGTTCGTTCCTCTCCGTCATATTGGCTGGTAGTTCTGATAAAGGAATAGTCTGGAGTGAATTTGTACCAAAACTTGTAGACATCAGTAATACGTGTAGCGTTTCCTTGGAGAGTGAAAAGTGACCAGTTGAGACTATCATGTCCTGGATATTTTTCATTGGCTTAAAGAAACACCACTGTTCTGTCAATGTATTCTCTGAGACTTAGTTGGGTAAATCTGTGGGCATTGCAGTGGTATATTGTTGAAAAGTCAACTATACCCGATGGAGCATTCGGATCAATTCCTGTTACAGATCCTCGGCCATATTCACTAATAACAAGCGGGACCTGCTTCCCTTTCTTTATAGAGGCATAACTTTCCACAAGGTCGACAAATGCTACCAAACGTGCTTCATTCATTCCAGTAAGATTGTGCGATTTCCCTGAAACAATGAGTGAGTTGTACGAATGGAAGGAAAATTCATCTAGATAGCCTTGTGTGAGGTCCATGAAATATGCCACCTTTTTCCAATACGAAAAGTCGTTTCTATCTGCCAACCCAGTTTCTCCGTCAAGTGTAGGACCAATTACCTTGATGTTAAATCGAGCATGGAGTTTGTCAGCAACTATTTTGTGAAAGCTGGCAAAAGCAGTAAAATTCCAGATGTAAGGCTTAGCGTCCGGTTCATTTATTGGCTCGAAGTAGGGTGGGATTTCTCCATTGGTGTAGTCATATACTCCTTGCACCATCAATATTATGAACTCAACAGCCGCATCAATGTTGTTAGGGAACTGACCATCATGTTCAGATTGGTTTATCCATCTTGGCCAGTCATGAGCTGAAATCAACAGTATAACAGAACATGAAACTAACATAATAATAACAGTATTAAAACATCTTTTAGCTATTTTTTTAATACGAATCGGCACAGATTGAGAGTGAGTGCGTTGTTTGGAAACCGCGTTGTTTGGGTGAGTTGGGTTTATGGATGCTTTGAACAGTATTTCTGTTAAGCGTCAGCTTAATGTGGGATAAGAAGCCGAAGAAATGCACAGAGCATGTACCACATAGGTGAAACCCACGAGCATAGACGTGCTGCTGATATGTTGCAAAGAAATGTAGTCGGGGTGAACCTCTGTCCGGACCCACGACCATTGGTTTCTGTTGCGCCACGGGACACAGCTCTGAACATTTCTGGCTAAAATAGACTTAAATAAAATCGCTAATCTCTTGGTTGGGATATATATATTGGTTGGGATATACATGAAATTAATTCTCATAATCCACCAAGAGTGTGTTTTATTTACGTTTTATTATCCCTAAATGTCTCCAAACATCTTTATCCACTCTTTACATACTTGTTCTGTGATGGGGTGGGACATGAGGCAGTGTTATACCTTGTACAATGACTCTTTACCTCTTCTACTCTGTACCTGTAGAGTGGCATGCCACATTTAGAGAGGGGTAACCTGTTACTCTTACTGCTTTAGTACATTTGAGAAAGAGATATGAATGTGAATATAGCTTTACAGTATGACCTGAACTTTCTCACCTCTCGCCATCATGACCATTTCGTTCGCATAACCACTTTCGATGTTAGCAAGATAGGTGGAGAAATATTCCTGCTGTTTAGTGAAGTTCTTCAAGTAGTTGGGGTCAGGGTAACAACTACAGTTTGGGTCCTCTGGCCACTGTACGAATTGTAAATTAAGATACCATGATAGTTAAAACGTCGACCTGAAGGCTTGACACTCCTTCAAAATGAGTGAGTGAGTTAAAATTTAACGTCACATCGGCAATATTTCAGCCATATCGTGACGAGAACAATTAATTTTATGCATAGTAAGCAATGGTAAACTATAAAAACCTGTCAACGAAGGACAGTAAAATAACTAGATTATCACAGATTCGAATTTAAAACTAGCAATCAAATCTAAAACAGTCTAACTATAGATGACAATACAAGGTAAAAACAGGCTATATATTGCCAACAACTGAAGGTAGATCACCACACTAGGGACCATGGGGAAATACAGTACATTTGCTTCCTGCATGGACCCTAGCTGGATTTACACCATCCCCTCAGCTATTAGCAATGTTAGATAATCTAGCCATAAATTAAACGAACATATATTCTACGATTAAAATAGTAGTAGGTTTAAATTTACTTTGAATGTTTTGGGACTTACGTACCCTCTCAGGAGGACAATAATTTTACGCTACTTCAACCCCCTTTGAGGGCACTGCCACTAACAATCTAAGTTAGTAATCAAATCTACCAATAATTAAAATACATATATGTACAGAACATATTATTCAAAATTCATTCATTAATTCAATTTCTTTTAAAAAGCCAATAATTAAATGAAAATTAACAGTGTTAAAAAGATCCTTAACTGTTTTCACATTGAAGTATTTATCCTTTATGATGGAGAATTCAACACAGTCAAGCAGGACATGCTTGACCGTGGTTTTCTCATCACAAGGGATACAAAACGGAGGATCCTCACCTTTCAATAGGTTGCATGAGTGTATCGAGTGTGGCCAATACGACATCGTCGCATGATGACCTCTTCAAATCTGGACTGACAACCCAAGTAAGTGTAACCGATATAGGGTTTTATTTCATGTAATTTATTGATACCTACTTGGGCATCCCACTTCTTCTGCATCAGATCACGGATGTAAGTTCTAATGCTAGCTTTGTAATC